CTAAATAATTACTGTCCAAAATAGTGTCTTTTGACTCTGTCACAATCAAAAACAAGAAGATCAACAGAAACAAGAACAATAACATCAGCGGAGGATCAGCAGCAACAACAATAACATCATGAACAACTAGCTGATCTGAAATAGTTAATATGTATAGAAATGATGCCACTGCAAAACTGAAGTGTCACGAAGCCTGTAAAAATTTACCAACGAAAAATAAAAACCTGTCATGACACCTGTCACCATTCCAATAAATAAGAATATATAACTCATTAATTATTGTGTTACTCCTATCAACCTCTTATTAGCAATGTTGTTTTCTTCTATTAGTTGCCTGCAAATCAATAATTTCAGGGGGAAAAGGGACACCTCAGTTTTGAAAATTTTCTGGCTAACAACTAAGCACAACTGTTTCAGATTTACCTTATAATCACTGCATCAGAGATCTCTTTGGCATAGACTGGATTTCTGTGAAAATAATAATTATAATAATTACAATCATTCATGAAACTTAGGTAACTAAATCACTAACTTTGATGTTGTCCAGTTACTTATATATAGTTAACTATATATATTTGTAAAATTCATGAATAATTAATGAGGGCCTAAGCCAATACAGCTTTAGAAATCAGGTCACATGAATATCATGTAAACCCGATACAAACCTTACAATGAAAATGCTAATTAGATATAACCACTGGTGGATGTACACTGTCCCGATACAGCACTAGTGGTTGTATCTAATTAGCATATGAATTCAAAATGTCCCAAAGGAGTTATGAATTATTCATTTCACAAGTTGTTTACAACATTTGCGTCCGTCTTGTATTGGCCAGACAATCACTCGCCTCCGGCTCGTGACTGTATAGTTGATACAACACGGCTGCTCATATTGTGAACATTACCTATATATATATATATATTTATATAATTTTTGCAAATGCCTGTACAGCGATATGCAGAAATTATAATCCTTTTGTATACACTGAATTGAAGAATCGTTGTCAAGTTCAGAAACATAGAACATAGAATCTGAGACCGAAATGACGCATGGGAAATGACATAATTATATCATAATTTATTCGCTTGCGCAATCCACTCAGGCAGTTTAGAATGCCAAGCGCGTATTAAAAACAGTGGATGATGCCACAGGTCGCCGGTCACAGCATGCATCTAACATACTTGCCATGTGCCATTTCGGTCTCACCTATGTTTTATGTTTCTGAACCCGACAACGATTTTGCAATTGAGTGTATACACGAAATTATATCAAAAGTATGTTAGAGATTATGGGATACCATGTATGATATTTTTTTCAGAAAGTCCTACAGACGGGCAAACCCGAAAAAAATATCAGGGATGATATCCCATAATTTCTGATATGCTTTTGATATACTTGTGCATTGTACAAAATGATCAGAATTTCTGCATATCGCTGTGTATATTATTATATATATAATATATACACACTCGATTGCAGAAACGTTGTAGTATACATTTATACAAACATCTAATTTATGCAGTATATATAATGATATGCAAAACAGAAAGATCGCTTTATCTATTGTTTGTTTCATTTTAATGACTGTCAAAATATTTTTTTTCTTGTCTATTAGATTGTACAGATTATAATTCAATTGGTTTTAAGCGTTGAAAATGGTTATTTTGTATTATTCATCTCATAAGATATTTGTATAAATGAATAAATGCATACTACATATACAGCCATTTGCAAAAATTATGGCCGCTTCCAATATTTATACAAGTATATCAAAAGCATATCAAAAATTATGGGATATCATCCCTGATATTTTTTTCGGGTTGCCTATCACCAGGCCTTTCTGAAAATAATATTAAGAAAGATATCTTGCCGTGTCTGATATACTTTTGATATACTTGTTTGTATTATATATAACAGTTGACAATAACAATCTCACCTTCAGCAACGAAAGCAACAACAACAAACAAAATCAAGATTATCAAAATCAAGAACATAAAAAAATGACATTGACAACGTCAATATAACATCAACAACGTCAACATCATCAGCAACAATTACATCATACCCAATATAAACGGTAACGACAACAGCAAAATCAATAACGATAACAACAGCAACCATAATCTAACTCAACCTTAACACCAGCAACAACAAGAACAACATCAACAACATCAAAAACAATAAAACAAACATGACAACATCAACAATTTTGACAACATCAATATCTTCAACGAAGTCAAAAACAACATTAATAACGACATAATCAATAGCAGTAACATCTAAGAACAAAAACTTCAATAACGGCCAACAGCATTTAAGAAAATCAAAAACAACAGCATTGACAACTTCAACAACTTCCACGACATCAACAGCGACATGAACAGTCTGAACATGAACAGTCAGATAAAAACAACATAATCAACTTTAACAACATTTTTAGCAACATCATCAATAAAAGAAACATCTTAGAAAATCAAAAACAACAAAATCGACAATTTCAACGTCAACAACATAATAACAAGAACACCAAGAGCAACATCAGCAACAACATCATAAACAACATTGACAAAAAAACAGTGACAAGATTGTAACAACATCATCAATTACAGTATCATTAGCAAACACTTCGACAGCTTCAAAGACAAAAACATACATCAACTGAGCAACAACATAAGCAACAACAACAACAACAAAACGAACGAAAAGAGATTTTCACCATCCACAATATCAACGTCAAAAAGAACAAAAACATAAAACCCAGTATCAACCGCAACAGCAGCAACAATAGCAATGACATAAACAACATCAACAATAACATCAACAACAACATAAACATAAACAACATCAAAAAACAAGAACATGAACAACAACAATGACAAAATCAAAAACAAGAACATCAACAGAAATAAAAACATGTAAGAACATTTAAGCAGCAACAACAATACGTCAAGAACAACAAGCAGATCTGAATTGGTGACGTAAGAATGACATCATTACAAAACTGAGGTGTCATGAAGCCTGTGAAAATTGACCAGCGAAAAATAAAAACCTGTCCACCTCAGTTATGGAAATTTTCTGACTGACAACTAAGCACAGCTGTTTCGGATTTACCTTATAATCACTGCATCAGAGATCTCCTTGGTATAAACTGGATTTCTCTGAAAGAATAATCATAATCATAATCATTCATGCAACTTTTTAGTTAACTAACTCACTGAATAACAGGCATTTGGCTATTTGCTGAGCTAACGGTTGAGTTGAGTTTGAGTTGCGCGATGGGAGGCTTTTACCTGGTCTAGAAAATACTTCTAGTTCCATTTTCCGTTCAAAATATGCTTTAAATTGAGAAATCGCCGAATGTTTACCATTCCACTTCACATAAGTCTTTTTATCAAACAATTGTCTTACAAGAGTTGTCGTTCGTTTGGCCATCACCCCACATCTTTATTATATGGTAATCTCACCTTATTTTGAAGCAAGTGTGAGCTGGTTTTCAGCGATATTTTCGGAATTTAAAGCTTAAAATCATTGAAAACCTGCAGTTATAATTGCAGAAAGACATCTTAAACAATACGCCATCTTGGTTGGCACAGGAAGCCCAATGCTACAAATACAGGGATCCCGCACATACATAACACACATTGTAAAAGCATTGAGGCGAATGTGAAAAGCGTTATTATGAGCACCACATCATTATGTTATATTACCATCATAAATATGGTTCGTGTTCTTCTCGTGAACCTTTTGGACATGTTCACAATGTAGAGTAACAAGCAAGCAGTGTGACCTACCGGTACGTACGTAGTTCAACCGGAAGTCTTACCGATATGTCTCTTGGTAGGTAGATCGAGTTAAAAATATTAAAAACAAGTTAAGAGAGAATTCTTCTCGTATTCAAGCAGTGAGCGCCAAAAACTATTTTCTTGAAAAAAGGCTGTTGTACAAGGCTAAAATCTTGTTTTTCAGAAAGCTTAACTTGATTGGAAGTGGAGATAACCGATGAAAGTGGAATCAAAGTGTTGAAACCCGGGCCAAAAAATTATTCGAAAATGATGTTTAGGCCTTCATTTGCTTATTTCCCGTATATTTCCTATGAAAAAGCCTGACAAAGCAACATTCTAACACAAATGCAACAAACCATCTTTGTACAATAGTGAAAATACCGCTTCAAACAGGCATTTTCTCATAGAGTGTAAACAATATAACCGTGAAACTTTAGTAATACTAAAATATAGCACAATTTCTTGCAAATTCCATTGTTTAATTAGCAATGTTTTGTACTATTTACTAATTAGTGTTTCACGGATTAATTGTTTGCACTCTATTACATCAGTTTATATAAGTGTTTTAAAAAGGTTTTGAGTGTTAACCAAAATCGAAAATTGGGATCAAAACTCATCCGAAAGTCTAGTTTTTAGCGCTTTTTTTGCTTATTATTGAAAAAAACATTTCCTCTTAATATAATGTGTATCATCATCAGAATGAGTTTGTTGATAAACAAACTTATTGCTTATTATTGCTTATATTGCTTATTATTATAATATGGATGTATGAGTTATTTCGGGCTGCCGGAAGTGGTTTTCACTTTTTCGAACCAGAGAAAAATTAACTTGAAGCAGTAAACGACTAAATTTGTTTAAAAAATATCAAAGTAAATAAAGACAAGAAATAAAAAATAAACAAATACAAAAAAATATGTGACAATGATCATTTAGGAAACTCAACTCAAACTCAACTCAAACTGAACTCAACCGCTAACTCAGTGATTATCCTGTCTCTGAATAACAAAGTAAGGAAGGATATATATATATTTTTACCAAATTGAGATGATCCTCAGTATATGAAGCAACAGATGCAGCTGCAAATTGAAAGGCTTAAAAGACTGATAAACCCAACTTATGCGTCCTTGTCGTCTCATATGAGACTTGGTAGCTCAGTTATTAGAGCATGGCACCGGAATAGCCAGGACAATGGTTCAAATCCCCTTCAAGACTAAAGACTCCCATTCAATTTGCAGCTGCATAAAGTTGCTTCATATACGTACTGTGAGGATCAGCTCAATTTGATACATTCACCACCACAGTACAAATATATATATTTCCTATATATATATTCTCATACGTACACACGCGCACACACACGCACACACACGCACACACACATGCACACACACCCATATCACAGGAAAACATTTCTAAAAAACATAATGGTTTTTAGAATGGTAATTATAGTAATTCCAATTCAAAAAACATGAATGGAAAACAGAACACTTCCCATTTATGGATTTTATACTAAGAAATGTTAATGATTGGTAAGCTGAAAACATGATGTGTTTGCATGACTTTGCATAATACATGCATGGTTCTCCAACTTCTCATAATGGCTTTTCCATGAAAGTACATAAATGGTTTTTGGAGTGTGGTGCTTTGCATAATTCCCACTATAATAACCATTGATTGAAAAGAACAAGCTTGCCACTGATGGTTTTTGGGATAAAAACAAACAATGGCTAGGAATTCGAAGCTGAAACCATAATGCGTTGCAGTCATAAAACATGCATGTTAAATCTCCAATTACTGGTAATGGTTTCTCACTATAACACATGGCTAATTTGAGACTGAAGGGAAATTTTATAATTCACTATTTTATAACAGTGGCAAATAGTTGAAAACAAGTTTGTTGTAGGATCTTTARGGCCTATAGGGCAAACGTCGAACTTTCCATGCACCAAAATTAATTACATCAAAGAATGCAGCCTCATTATCACCTGATGATATCCGTTGTTTTTAATGAGTTTGGTGCATGGAAATTTAGATGTTTGCCCTAGGCCTAACTCTGCTTATAAGATATTTCCACCAAACTCATTACATCGTTAACCACATAAAAAATTGCTCTGAAAGTCATCAGTAGACTTTAACTTTGCTAATGCCTGATGATGAAGTCAAGATGTTGACTTAATCGAAAGTAACATACAAACCTTAATTTATATTTATTGCTATATTTATCTACTTATTTTGCACGTTCTTGCCAATTTTTAGGAGAAAAAGTTTAACGTTAGAAGTTTATTTTCTTTTAGATTCTTTATTTACCCAGTTCAATTTGTCCACAGTCTCCAATAGTTCATAAAGAAATTAGTGCTAAATATCATGCAAATTATCTCCAGAACAAGCAATTAACAGTGACCCTCAACGTTTTTTGGCTCTTTCATACAAGTTAACCAATGTCTTTTATCAATGAAAGTACTGTATGAAAAAAAGTTTGATGTTGGAACATTTGCTCGCCAACGTCCTTAAGAAAGAAAAACAATAGTCTGCTTGGGAATTATCTTAAACATTCTCATAACTCAATATTGCTCATAATTCAACATTGTGTTTTCAATTGTGTTTTCTATTTCTTCACGTGGTTTATCATTAATGGGAAATTATTAACCATTGTTTGCTTTTAGAGCAAAARCCATATATGTTTTTTAATTCTAAATGCCATTGTTGTTAAAGTGCTTATAAGCCTTTGCACAATATTTTCAGAATTGATTCTTTAAGATAGTGGATAGTTAATTGTGAAAATATTTTGTCATTTGAATGTCGGGTCTTTAAGATACAAAGGTATATTTATTCCCAATATGTTAATTCACTATGACGTAACATAAAGGATCATTTAATATACAACACTGCACTTGTTCTGGAATACAGTATTTTAAAAGCATCACCCCTTTTACTCATGACTCACATAAAGCTTCTTACAAATTTGTTTTCAAAAAATCTCCAGCGTTCAATATTAAAAGTTGCCATTAACATATTGAAAATATAAACCTTCGTATCTCAAAGATCCGACATTCAAATGACAAATTATTTTCACAATCAACTATTCACTATTTAAAGACTTAATTCATATGCGAGTTGCAAAAACTGAGGTGTCATGAAGCCTGTGAAAATTGACCAGCGAAATATAAAAACCTGTCCACTATTCCAAAACATAATAATATGGTTACTCTTATCAACCTCTTATTAGCAAAGTTGTTTTCTTCTATTAGTTGCCTGCAAATCATTATAATTTCAGGAGGAAAAGTGACACCTCAGTTTTGGAAATTTTCTGACTAACAACTAAGCACAACTGTTTCAGATTTACCTTATAATCACTGCATCAGAGCTAGATCTCATTGGTATAAACTGGATTTCTCTGAAAATAATTATTATAATCATAATCATTCATGCAACTTAGTTGACTAACTCACTGAATAATAAAGTAAGGAAGAATATATAAGTTGGATTTCTCTGAAAAAAATAATAACCATTTATGCAACTTAGTTTACTGAGTAACTGGACAACATCAAAAATGAGCAAGCAAATAACAGCAAATAACAGCTTCAAGGACAACAACATATAACATTAAAAGCAACAACATAGGCAACAATAACAACAAACAAATTGGGTACTATCGTCGTGTACGGATTAACAAAGTACGTCATAGGTTTCCAAACACACGAGTGGAATTTGAAAAGAATTCCCCTGACAATTCCCGTACATGATGATACAACCACAAATTGAACAACAAAAGGATATTTTCAACATCAACAACATCAATGCAAATAAGAACATAAACAAAACCCAGTATCAACCGCAACAGCAACAACAATAGCAATGACATAAACAACAACATCAACATCATCAACATAAACAACATCAAAAACAAGAACATGAACAACGACAATGACAAAATTAAAATCAAAAACAAGAACATCAACAGAAATAAAAACAAGCAGCAACGACAATACATCAAGAACAACCAGGAATGACTCCACAAAAAACTGAAGTGACACGAAGGCTGTTAAAATTAACCAGCAAAAAATCAAAACTATCCACCATCGCAATTAAATTATAAAACTTTTTATTATCATTGTGTTACTGTTATCAACTTCTTATTCGCTATCTCCCATGTATTATGAATGTTTTGTTTTTCATTTGGTGACCCAAAAATCATAATTTGAAGAAGAAAAATGACACCTCAATTTTGAAAGTTGTTCTTTTTCTGATTAGCTAACTTTTTCTCTCAGATCAGCTGGAATATCAACAACCACAACATTAACAACAATTTTATAACAAAAAAAAAAAAAACAACTCAACATCATCCACATTGATATCAACATCAATAACAGTATCAACATGAAGATCATAGACATCAAGATCATCAAGAGCATCATCAACATCAGCAAAACAGCATCAGCCACAAAACTTCAAGAACATCCTCAACAACTTCTACAGCACTGACAACGTTAAAAACAACATCAATATACATCCAATATCAGCAACAACACTTACTGGAACAACAACATGAAAAGCAACTACAACATCATCAATATATAGCAACAACATCATCAACACAAAATGAAGAATGACAACATGACTACAACAACACCAAATACATCAACAGCAACAAAAATACATTCATCAACAAAATCCATGACAAGGCCAGTAACATCTAAATCAACAACATCTAAATCAAGCAAAAACAACTACATCATCAACAAGAACCACATAATATTAAACATTAACAACATCAATAACATCGAAATCAACAACAAAAACACCAACAGCGACAACGTCTACATCAACATTATCAACAACTGCAACATTAAGAACTATATCAAGAACAACATCAATCACATCAATGTAAAGCATTGGTTTTCAGATGCATGTTTCGTGGATGTTCATTAACCAATCAGAATGCGTGTTATATCGTGCTATAATTGTTTCTTAGGGTTAGTGCCTACTATTGTAAAGCTTAAGATACACGGTGTAGCATTGCACGCAACATTGCACACAACAGGACTGTTGCAGCAACAGGACTGTTGCAGCGTGTCTACCCCTGAAACCTGTTGCACACAATATTGCATGTAACAAATCTGAAGTTGAATCGAGCTCTACTGTTGCAATTGTGTGCAACAAATTCCTTTGTGATCATGGCTGCAACATAGCATGCAACATTTTGAAATTTCGAACCAATCAGCTTGCAGCAAATGTTTAATTGGTGGCCTAATTTCTTGGCATAGCGCACTGACACAAGCAATGTTGCATGATTTTGTTGTTGTGTCACCCTGGTTAAAAATTTGTTGTGTGCAATGTTGCATGCAATGTTGCACTGTGTGTCCGCACCTTAAGCGCACTCACTTACTGTGCATCTACAATGAGGGATACCCGAAGGTTTCAAAAGCAAAACACCCAAAGGTTTAGAAAACGTCTGGCTTGGGACAAATTTAAGGCCAAGAACAATAGCAATAACTATCTCTTATGTAGTAAAAGATGGATCAAGAAGTAATCTTCAAGAATTCAGGTGTTTTAAGGAAGTACCCCATTTACACCTTAAGGCTTAAACATGTTTTAAAGTGGTTTAACTAAACAGGTTTGGAAAACTATCTACAAACACTGCAAAATATTTGGTGAAATTATGCATGTAAACTATCCTTTGTCTTGCTGACAATAATTTAGAAAGTTTCATTATGATTATATTGTAGGTTTCTAGTTTCTCAATTTTTTTCCTAATGAAAACTAATTTTGCTGATCTTCAACCCTTAATTTCCGTAAAACGTCTTGATAAATCCCCTTACTTGTTCTTCGAAGTAACCATTCTTTTTCCCAGACAGATTGTGCACGTCGCTTACGTTTTTTTCGCCTCAGCACGATTGATACAAAGCTTAAAGCCCCAACTCGTCTACTGTCCACCATTTTGTTTGTTGTTGTCCCCAGTCTCTCTTATGTGGCAAACCGAGAGAATTGCAAACGATTTTATGATTATATTGTAGCGGACATCTTCTTTCGTTCAGTGGGGACATCTAATTCAGTAATGGGTACACAACGCAAAACGCTCGTCGATTATATCAGCG